TGACTCTGTACCGGTACCCCCTGTGTATAGGCTCCCTACTGTTATTTTATTTTACTGCTGCTCTTCAATTATTTTTAATTACATTTTTTACTTGACACTTATTTTTCTTACAACTGCATTGTTGGTTAAGGGCTTGTAAGTAAGCATTTCAAGGTCTACACCTGTTTTATTCAGCGCATGTGGCAAATAAAATTTGATTTGATTTGTGTGCCTTTCCAAATTATGTCCAATTAATTGAATTTACCACAGGTGGACTCCAATCAAGTTGTAGAAACATCTCAAGGATGATCAATGGAAACAGGATGCACCGGAGCTAGATTTTGAGTCTCATAGCAAAGGGTCTGAATACTTATGTAAATAAGGTATTTCTGTTTTTCATTTTTAATACATTTGCAAAGATTTCGAAAAACCTGTTTTTACTTTTTCATTATGGGAGATTGTGTGTAGATTGATGAGTAAAAAAAATAATGTAATACATTTTAGAATAAGGCTGTAACGTAACAAAATGTGGAAGAAGGGGTCTGAATACTTTCCGAATGCACTGTATAGAATTAGTCATGATGTATTGTATGCAGAGGCTATAAGACGGATTGGTGGAACTACAGTGTGGAATGATGGAGCTTCCATGGCTGCTCCTGTAGTAAGGGGACCTAATGTCTGGGCTGGTGTTTCTGCTGGTCCTGGCATGGTTTGAAGGCCTGCTCAGAATCTTGCACTCATGAATGTGCAATGTCAAAGGACACTTTGATAATGAATAAAGTTGACTTCATAGCTTTTATTGGTAAAGTTATCAATATGTCTTGGGTTGTGGAAAGCAAAAAATGCCAGGTTGAAGGTTATTGTGGAGACGGCAAAAGAGATTGGGGGTAACAGATGTTACTGTTGACATGCTGAACAATCCTAAAGGTGGATTGTTTCACCATGATGAAGTGTAATGGGGTTGGAGGGTTTTTGGGGGGAAGGGGAGGGTGTGGTAGAAGTTAGTAGGGATTTATTTGGTTTTTTATTTTCATGGTAGTACAGAATTGGGCATATCATGATTGATCGTACATTCCAGCATAGTAGGTGGCGGCATGCACTTAAATGATTGTTTGCGGACAGCCATGATATGATATAGAAGAAGAAAAGGTTGCTGTCCCCTGGTGTAGCCTTTTAGGAGTGTAACAGCAGAATCTGCGAAGGCCAGCAGCAGCGGGAGGGAGAGGGTCAGGAACATGCTTTTTTCTGGTTAGGCTATCTTGATCTCTGGCTCCCTCGAGTCACTTGTGTCTTAATTATTTTATCAACATGTGCTTAAAGCATAAGACAAGCTCAGTAGCCTACATATAGTTGATTTTATTAAAACACAAAGGGTGTGTCTACGTAGGGTAAAATACACATTTAAAAATTCCAACCAAGTTGTTAAGATTTTCTTTTTTTTGGACAGCCCTAGTTTGCACAACCGAAGAATTTCTGCACATGGCTCATCTGCGTGCTTGTCGTCCTCACCAGGGTCTTGACCTGACTGCAGTTTTGCGTCTTAAACGACGTTGGTGGGCAAATGCTCACTTCCGATGGCCACTGACATGCTGGAGAAGTGTGCTCTTCACGGATGAATCTCAGTTTCAACTGTACCAGGGAGCTGTCAGACAGCATGTATGGCGTCGTGTGGGCGAGCGGTTTGCTGATGTCAATGTTGTGAAGAGAGTGCCCCATGGTGGCGGTGGGGTTATGGTATGGGCAGGCATAAGCGACGGACAATGAACACAATTGCATTTTATCAATGGCAATTTGAATGCACAGACATACCGTGACGAGATCCTGAGGCCCATTGTCGTGCCATTCATCCGCCGCCATCACCTCATGTTTCAACATGATAATGCACGCAAGGATCTGTACACAATTCCTGGAAGCTGTAAATGTCCCAGTTCTTCCATGGCCTGCATACTCACCAGACATGTCATCCATTGAGCATTTCTGGGATGCTCTTGATTGATGTGTATGACAGCGTGTTCCAGTTACTGCCAATTTCCAGCAACTTCGCATAGCCATTGAAAAGGAGTGGGACAACATTCCACAGGCCACAATATACAGTGTGGTCAACTCGAAGCGAAGGAGATGTTGCGCTGCTTGAGGCAAAATGGTGGTCACGAGATACTGACTGGTTTTCTGATCCACGCTTCTACTTTTTTTTTAAAGGTATCTGTGTCCAACAGATGCATATCTGTATTTCCAGTCTTGAAATCCATAGATTAGGGCCTAATGAATTTATTTCAATTGACTGATTTCCTTATGAACTGTAACTGAGTAAAATCTTTGAAATTGTTGCCTATTGCGTAAATATTTTTGTTCAGTGTAGATCATTCTATCTAACCCATAACACTATAATCACTACTGCTAGGCCACTTTATATAAACATACTAAAACGTGCTCAAGTCAATTAGTCAGTTTCCAACAATATGAAGAGTTGTCCTCAGTGATATGTTTGGGGCAAACAACACAACGCTTTGTATTCAGGACATAAAGGTCATTTCTTAGCCAAATGTTTTGTAGTTTTACTTTAGTGCCTTAATGTAGTGACTGGGTGTATTGATACACCATCCAAAGTGTACTTAATATCTTCACCATGTTAAAAGGGATATTCAATGTCTGCTTTTTTTTTTTTACCCATCTACCAATAGGTGCCCTTCTTTGGCAATGGAAAACCTCCCTGGTCTTTGCGGTTGAATCTGTGTTTGAAATTCACTCCTCGACTGAGGGACCTTACAATTATCTGTATGTGTGGGGTACAGAGATGAGCTAGTCATTCAGAAATCATGTTAAACACTATTATTGCACACACAGTGAGTCCATGCAACTTATTATGTGAATTGTTAAGCACATTTATACTCAACTTATTTAGGCTTGCCATAAAGGGGTTGAATACTTATTGACTCAAGACATTTCAGCTTTTTCATTTTTAATTAATTTGTAAAAATTTCTAAAAACACTATTCCACTTTGTGTGTGTAGGCCAGTAATGCCAAAATCTCAATTTAATCCATTTTAAATTCAGGCTGTAAGACAACAAAATGTGGAAAAAGTCCAGGGTTTGAATACTTTCTGAAGGCACTGTACAGTGAGGGAAAAAAGTATTTGATTCCCTGCTGATTTTGTACGTTTGCCCACTGACAAAGACATGATAAGTCAATAATTTTAATGGTAGGTTTATTTGAACAGTGAGAGACAGAATAACAACAAAAAGATCCAGAAAAACACATGTCAAAAATGTTATAAATTGATTTGTATTTTAATGAGGGAAATAAGTATTTGACCCCCTCTCAATCAGAAAGATTTCTGGCTCCCAGGTGTCTTTTATACAGGTAACGAGCTGAGATTAGGAGCACACTCTTAAAGGGAGTGCTCCTAATCTCAGTTTGTTACCTGTATAAAAGACACCTGTCCACAGAAGCAATCAATCAATCAGATTCCAAACTCTCCACCATGGCCAAGACCAAAGAGCTCTCCAAGGATGTCAGGGACAAGATTGTAGACCTACACAAGGCTGGAATGGGCTACAAGACCATCGCCAAGCAGCTTGGTGAGAAGGTGACAACAGTTGGTGCGATTATTCGCAAATGGAAGAAACACAAAATAACTGTCAATCTCCCTCGGCCTGGGGCTCCATGCAAACTCTCACCTCGTGGAGTTGCAATGATCATGAGAACGGTGAGGAATCAGGCCAGAACTACACGGGAGGATCTTGTCAATGATCTCAAGGCAGCTGGGACCATAGTCACCAAGAAAACAATTGGTAACACACTATGCCGTGAAGGACTGAAATCTTGCAGCGCCCGCAAGGTCCCCCTGCTCAAGAAAGCACATGTACAGGCCCGTCTGAAGTTTGCCAATGAACATATGAATGATTCAGAGGAGAACTGGGTGAAAGTGTTGTGGTCAGATGAGACCAAAATGGAGCTCTTTGGCATCAACTCAACTCGCCGTGTTTGGAGGAGGAGGAATGCTGCCTATGACCCCAAGAACACCATCCCCACCGTCAAACATGGAGGTGGAAACATTATGCTTTGGGGGTGTTTTTCTGCTAAGGGGACAGGACAACTTCACCGCATCAAAGGGACGCTGGACGGGGCCATGTACCGTCAAACCTTGGGTGAGAACCTCCTTCCCTCAGCCAGGGCATTGAAAATGGGTCGTGGATGGGTATTCCAGCATGACAATGACCCAAAACACATGGCCAAGGCAACAAAGGAGTGGCTCAAGAAGAAGCACATTAAGGTCCTGGAGTGGCCTAGTCAGTCTCCAGACCTTAATCCCATAGATAATCTGTGGAGGGAGCTGAAGGTTCGAGTTGCCAAACGTCAGGCTCAAAACCTTAATGACTTGGAGAAGATCTGCAAAGAGGAGTGGGACAAAATCCCTCCTGAGATGTGTGCAAACCTGGTGGTCAACTACAAGAAACGTCTGACCTCTGTGATTGCCAACTAGGGTTTTGCCACAAAGTACTAAGTCATGTTTTGCAGAGGGGTCAAATACTTATTTCCCTCATTAAAATGCAAATCAATTTCTAACATTTTTGACATGCGTTGTTCTGGATTTTTTGTTGTTGTTATTCTGTCTCTCACTGTTCAAATAAACCTACCATTAAAATGAAAGACTGATCATGTCTTTGTCAGTGGGCAAACGTACAAAATCAGCAGGGGATCAAATACATTTTTCCCTCACTGTAGCTACAAACCCTATGTTTTGACCTGCACCATTCTCCCCACAACACCACCTTGATAATTCTCCCAGTAAGACAATAGGTCACATCTCAAAAAACAATCTTCTTCTTGTACAACATGGAATATGCCAACACTGCACAAAAGCAAAGTCGATGGACCAATAACACATCAAACCATCCACTGGTTTTTATACCTTATTGAGTGAACTGAAACAAATGACTGCTGTAAGCTAGGCAGTGACGTCATTGCATTCCCGTGTGTGCCACAGACCAGTGTGGTCTCTGTTTGTCCGAATGCAGATAGTTTCCGCTACTCCTGTGACATCTGCGGGAAGAAATACAAGTACTACAGTTGCTTCCAGGAGCACCGTGACCTGCATGCTGTTGACGGTAACTGACTAACTACCCTCTCTTCTCCTTTTACTCTCCATTATTGTGTTCCTACTAGGCCTTTTCTATTCTTTGTCTGTTTTTAATTGTATTTGTATTTTATCATTCAGCAGACGCTCTTATCCAGAGCGACTTACAGGAGCAATTAGGGTTAAGTGCCTTGCTCAAGGGCACATTGACAGATTTTTCACCTAGTTGGCTCAGGGATTAGAACCAGCGACCTTTCGGTTACTGGCACAACGCTCTTAACCACTAAGCTACCTGCCGCCGAATTCAAATGGGAACTTGTTCTGTCTCAGTAGCAATGTTGCCTTGACTTGCAGTTCCATCGAAGTTTGTGGGTTTGTTTAGAATACATTCTTGGGAAGTTGAGGATGCAATGTCCTGGTAAAAGGAAGATCTCAAAGTGCTTAGAACAGTAAACTAGGCAGTCACATGGCAGATATTTGTAAGAGTAGTGTCCTTGTAGCCCTTAAGGCAGAGCTATTTGATTGAAACTTCACTTCCACGGCTACTGCTGCTCTAAAGAAAGTACCCTGTGTGAATTAACTTGACCCCTTCCTCCATATTCCTCGGTCTTCCCCTCTCCCCAGACCCATACGAGCAGGTGGTTCTAGGACCTGTGGAAGACCTCAAGGAGGAGGAGCCAGTGGAACCCTTTCAAAAAATAGGACCAAGTAAGGCTGCACTGCATGCTGGTCTGCTGTTGCTTGGAAGATTAGGGTTTTGCTATTGGGCACACCATACTGTGTGAGATATAAACTGAACACCTTCCTAATATTGAGTTGCACCCCCTTTTGCCCTCAGAACAGCCTCAATTCATCAGGGTCATGGACTACAAGGTGTCAAGTGTTCCACAGGGATGCTGGCCCATGTTGACTCTAAGTCCTTTGGGTGGTGGACCATTCTTGATACACACGGGAAACTGTTGAGTGTGAAAAACCAAGTAGCGTTGCAGTTCTTGACGCACTCAAACCAGTGCGCCTGGCACCTACTACCATAACCCGTTCAAAGGCACTTAAGTATTTTGTCTTGCCCTTTCACCCTCTGAATGGCACACAGACACAATCCATGTCTCAATTGTCTTGAGGCTTAAAACAAAACATAAAGTCAAAAATACAACAGAAAATATATATATACAGTGTGTGCGAATGTAGTAAGTTATGGAGGTAAGGCAATAAATAGGCCATAGTGCAAAATAGTTACAATTTCGTATTAACACTGGAATGATAGATGTGCAAAAGATGATGTGCAAATAGAGATACTGGGGTGCAAATTAGCAAAATAAATAACAATATGGGGATGAGGTAGTTGGGTGGGCTAATTTCAGAAAGGCTGTGTACAGGTGCAGTGATCGGTAAGCTGCTCTGACAACTGACACTTAAAGTTAGTGAGGGAGATAAGTCTCCAGCTTCAGAGATTTTTGCAGTTCGTTCCAGTCATTGGCAGCAGAGAACTGGAAGGAATGGCGGCCAAAGGAGGTGTTGGCTTTGGGGATGACCAGTGAGATATACCTGCTGGAGCGCAGACTACGGGTGGGTGTTGCTATGGTGACCAGTGAGCTAAGATAAGACTGGGATTTGCCTAGCAGTGATTTATAGATGACCTGGAGCCAGTGGGTTTGGCGACAAATATGTAGTGAGGGCCAGCCAACAAGAGCGTACAGGTCACAATGGTGGGTAGTATATGGGGCTTTGGTGACAAAACGGATGGCACTGTGATAGACTACATCCAATTTACTGAGTAGAGTGTTGGAGGCTATTTTGTAAATGACATCGCCAAAGTCAAGGATCGGTAGGATAGTCAGTTTTACGAGGGCATGTTTGGCAGCATGAGTGAAGGAGGCTTTGTTGCGAAATAGGAAGCCGATTCTAGATCTAACTTTTGATTGGAGATGCTTAATGTGAGTCTGGAACGAGAGTTTACAGTCTAATCAGACACCTACAGTGGGGAGAACAAGTATTTGATACACTGCCGATTTTGCAGGTTTTCCTACTTACAAAGCATGTAGAGGTCTGTAATTTTTATGATAGGTACACTTCAACTGTGAGAGACGGAATCTAAAACAAAAATCCAGAAAATCACATTGTATGATTTATAAGTAATTACTTTGCATTTTATTGCATGACATAAATATTTGATCACCTACCTACCAATAAGAATTCCAGGTCTCACATACCTGTTAGTTTTTCTTCAAGTAGCCCTCCTGTTCTCCACTCATTACCTTTATTAACTGCACCTGTTTGAACTCGTTACCTGTATAAAAGACACCTGTCCACACACTCAATCAAACAGACTCCAACATCTCCACAATGGCCAAGACCAGAGAGCTGTGTAAGGACATCAGGGATAAAATTGTAGACCTGCACAAGGCTGGGATGGGTTACAGGACAATAGGCAAGCAGCTTGGTGAGAAGGCAACAACTGTTGGCGCAATTATTAGAAAATGGAAGAAGTTCAAGATGACGGTCAATCACCCTCGGTCTGGGGCTCCATGCAAGATCTCACCTCATGGGGCATCAATGATCATGAGAAAGGTGAGGGATCAGCCCAGAACTACACGGCAGGACCTGGTCAATGACCTGAAGAGAGCTGGGACCACAGTCTCAAAGAAAACCATTAGTAACACACTACGCCGTCATGGATTAAAATCCTGCAGTGCACGCAAGGTCCCCCTGCTCAAGCCAGCGCATGTCCAGGCCTGTCTGAAGTTTGCCAATGACCATCTGGATGAACCAGAGAAGGAATGGGAGAAGGTCATGTGGTCTGATGAGACAAAAATATAGCTTTTTGGTCTAAACTCCACTCGCCGTGTTTGGAGGAAGAAGAAGGATGAGTACAACCCCAAGAACACCATCCCAACCGTGAAGCATGGAGGTGGAAACATAATTATTTGGGGATGCTTTTCTGCAAAGGGGACAGGACGACTGCACCGTATTGAGGGGAGGATGGATGGGGCCATGTATCGCGAGATCTTGGCCAACAACCTCCTTCCCTCAGTAAGAGCATTGAAGATGGGTCATGGCTGGGTCTTCCAGCATGACAACGACCCGAAACACACAGCCAGGGCAAAATCATATTAAAAATCATACAAAGTGATTTTCTGGATTTTTGTTTTAGATTCCGTCTCTCACAGTTGAAGTTGTACCTATGATAAAAATTACAGACCTCTACATGCTTTGTAAGTAGGAAAACCTGCAAAATCGGCAGTGTATCAAATAAGTATCTCCCCACTGTAGGTATTTATAGTTGTCCACATACTCTAGGTCAGACCCGCCGAGAGTAGTGATTCTAGTCGGGTGGGTGGGTGCAAGCAGCGTTCGGTTGAAGAGCATGCATTTAGTTTTACTAGTGTTTAAGAGCAGTTGCAGGCTACGGAAGGAGTGTTGTATGGCGTTGAAGCTCGTTTGGAGGTTTGTTAACACATTGTCCAATGAAGGGCCAGATGTATACAAAATGGTGTCGTCCGCATAGAGGTGGATCCGAGCGTCACCAGCAGCAAGAGCGACATCATTGATATACACAGAGAATAGAGTCGGCCCGAGAATTGAACCCTGTGTCACCCCCATAGAGATGGCCAGAGGTCCAGACAACAGGCCCTCCGATTTAACACACAGAGTTCAATCTGAGAAGTAGTTGGTGAACCAGGCGAGGCAGTCATTAGAGAAACCAAGGCTATTTAGTCTGCCAATAAGAATGCGATGGTTGACAGAGTCGAAAGCCTTGGCAAGGTCAATGAAGACGGCTGCGCAGTACTGTCTTTTATCGATCGCGTTTATAATATCGTTTAGGACCTTGAGCGTGGCTGAGGTGCACCCATGACCAGCTCGGAAACCGGATTGCATAGCGGAGAAGGTACTGTGGGATTCGAAATGGTTGGTGATCTGTTTGTTAACTTGGCTTTCCAATACTTTCGAAAGGCAGGGCAGGATGGATATAGGTCTATAACAGTTTGGATCTAGAGTGTCACCCCCTTTGAAGAGGGGGTGACACTCAGTGAATCTCATCAAAGGGATTGATTATGTATCTGAAATCCATCCTCTTGCAGTGTGTTATTAAGGCAATGTTATTAGTTTTAGCATTTAGCGCTTTACCTCATGCATGCAATGTATTTGGGTCTGGGGATAGGTATTAGTACATTATATCCCATAATGAGCGTAATACAATATGATTAGATTTGGGGAATAATTCAGTCTCACAATTTCCCCACAACTGAAAATTAAGGAAACCATTTCAGTGAACCACCAAGGATGCTACTCATGTTATTCTTATATCATTGCAGGAAGTCATTTTTATCGCATGCAAGTAATGTGATATTTTGGGTAACCTCTGTCATTTTCTCCCACAGAAACTGGGAGCTATGTGTGTGAGTTCTGTGGGAAGCAGTACAAGTACTTCAACCCATACCAGGAGCATGTGGCTCTTCACCAACCAACGAGTAAGTCATCTCACAGGTCTACGGAAGGGACTAGTCATCTGTTGTAGTCTAACCTATCTCTAACCTCCCAAACTCACCTGTGTTAGATCATCAGTTCAGTTAAAGTAGGTAGATAAGTTACCACTGTTATTTATATGATTGTACTGACAGAACTCTCTACCCACAGATTGGTCCTTCGATAATATGAAGTCGCCTCGGTCACGTGGAAGTGTGGGTGGAAACATGGACGTCAGCAAATACAGTGCCACTAAATTAGAAACCGGTATGGACAACTGAGCTGGGATCTGTGCTTAATCTACTCGCACACCAACTCATTCACAATCGCTGTGTGTGAATGTATATAGAGTGACAACCAAAAAAGGTGTTCTAAACCCTTAAAGATGTCAACTTTTAGAGCTTGAAATGGACCTGAGAGTTTATCATACAGTGGGCAGGTTCAATCAAACCCTAGCTGTCGTTATGTACAGTGGCTTGCGAAAGTATTCACCCCCTTGGCATTTTTCCTATTTTGTTGCCTTACAACCTGGAATTAAAATGGATGTTCTGGGGGGTTGTATCATTTGATTTACACAACATGCCTACCACTTTGAAGATGCAAAATATATTTTTTGTGAAACAAACAAGAAATAAGACAAAAACAGAACTTGAGCGTGCATAACTATTCACCCCCCCCAAAGACAATACTTTGTAGAGCCACCTTTTGCAGCAATTACAGCTGCAAGTCTCTTGGGGTATGTCTCTATAAGCTTGGCACATCTAGCCACTGGGATTTTTGCCCATTCTTAAAGGCAAAACCGCTCCAGCTCGTTGGATGGGGTTCTGCTGGTGTACAGCAATCTTTAAGTCATAGCACAGATTCTCAATTGGATTGAGGTCTGGGCTTTGACTAGGCCATTCCAATACATTTAAATGTTCCCCTTAAACCAATCGAGTGTTGCTTTTTAGCAGTATGCTTAGGGCCATTGTCCTGCTGGAAGGTGAACCTCCTTCCCGGTCTCAAATCTCTGGAAGACAGAAACAGGTTTCCCACAATAATTTCCCTGTATTTAGCGCCATCCATCATTCCTTCAATTCTGACCAGTTTCCCAGTCCCTGCCAATGAAAAACATCCCCACAGCATGACGCTGCCACCACCATGCGTTACTGTGGGGATGGTGTTCTCGGGGTGATGAGAGGTGTTGGGTTTGCGCCAGACATAGCGTTTTCGTTGATGGCCAAAAAGCTCAATTTTAGTCTCATCTGACCAGAGTACCTTCTTCCATATGTTTGGGGAGTCTCCCACATGCCTTTTTGGCGAACACCAAACGTGTTTGCTTATTTATTTCTTTAAGCAATTGCTTTTTTCTGGCCACTCTTCTGTGATGCCCAGCTCTGTGGAGTGTACGGCTTAAAGTGGTCCTATGGACATATACTCCAATCTCCGCTGTGGAGTTTTGCAGCTCCTTCAGGGTTATCTTTGGTCTCTTTGTTGCCTCTCTGATGAATGCCCTCCTTGCCTGGTCTGTGAGTTTTGGTGGGCGGCCCTCTCTTGGCAGGTTTGTTGTGGTGCAATGTTCTTTAAACATTTTTAAATAATGGATTTAATGGTGCTCCGTGGGATGTTCAAAGTTTCAGATATTTTTTTATAACCCAACCCTGATCTGTACTTCTCCACAACTTTGTCCCTGACCTGTTTGGAGAGCTCCTTGGTCTTCATGGTGCCGCTTGCTTGGTGGTGCCCCTTGCTTAGTGGTGTTGCAGACTCTGGGGCCTTTCAGAACCGGTGTATATATACTGAGATCATGTGACACTTAGATTGCACGCAGGTGGACTTTATTTAACTAATTATGTGACTTCTGAAGGTAATTGGTTGCACCAGATCTTATTTAGGGGCTTCATAGCAAAGGGGGTGAATACATATGCACGCACCACTTTTCCGTTATTTAAGTAATTTTTTTTCATTTCATTTCACCAATTTGGACTATTTTGTGTATGTCCATTACATGTAATGCAACAAAATAGGAAAAACGCCAAGGGGGATGAATACTTTTGCAAGGCACAGTAACATTTGATATCACTGTAAAGCAAGGCTACAATCTCCTGCCGCAGATCGTTTCTCTCAACTTTCTCTGCTGTGATCTGAAGCCCCTCGCTCATCTTATCTGTCATATCTCTCACCTGATCAGTTCCTCCACTGAGCATTCTGTATATGCAGAGCTATTTAAAGCATGACACACTCCTCTAGTATAGAATAATGGGTCAAAAGAGATGGTGGACAGGAGTAGTAGGACCCATATTCAAATGCTATGGGTGAATATACCTTTTTTATTGAATCCGGTGACGAAAAAGCAATGAATCATCCCAAGGTGACATTCAATATGTAGTACCCAATTCACTGGATTAGAATTGTATGGGCTTTGGAAAGCATCTATTGTGTCAACATCCACCATTTATTGTATGATAAATTATGTTTCCACCTGTTTTTCACCCATGTCTTGTCAGAGGTCTACACTCAAAAATAACTATTTTTTTGTATATCTGGACTGTTTTTACACATCAAGTAAGAAACCTTTTTGGAGCGTGCAATGGTTTTTCTTTGGGTCTTGTCAGTTAAAACATTTGTATTTATTCATACTTTTATTTAGTGTTTTACTTTACTTTTCTATTATTTCTCTATTTTCTTTCTCTCTGCATTGTTGGGAAGGGCCCGTAAGTAAGCATTTCACTGTTAGTCTACACCGGTTGTTTACGAAGCATGTGACTAAAACAATTTGATTTGTTATATTCCACAGACCGTCCCTTCAGTCGGAAAATAGAGAGCAAAACCCAGTCCAGCCTGGTGGACACCAACAGTTCCCAGAACTCAAGCGGTGAGCACTGTGGCGCTTCTCATTAGCTGTATACTTGTGCATTTTATGAATGTCTGCACCATGCAGTGTATTTTCAGTTGGGCAACTCAATCATTAGCTGTGAATGTCAATAAATAGGGAGACAATGTGTTCTTAGACCTGGGTAGAACATGGAGATAGATGGAGAGTGAATCAGGCAGGAGTGTGAGTGTTGGTGGCTTAGTAGTGTCCAAGCATATAACCACATTCAAATCAAGGCCATTGTCTTATTCTCTACCCCTCTTCCTGAACTATACACTCGTTTGCTCCCCCTTGTGGATTCAAAAATAATGGATTGGTCTAGGAAATATAGTTGCCAATGCCTATATCAATCGAAGGCTTTTAAATCCACAAGGAGAGCAAGTGCACACTCTGAAAGGGTAGGGAATTGTATCTGAAAACCGATGCAGTGTGTCTGAGTCTGTGACGTCACTCACTCCCTCTCTCACTCAGGTACTCCAAGCCCCCTGGTGACCGGTTTGTTCCCTGCATCACAGAGTGAGTCCACTTCTCTCTCTACCTGCCTGCCTGCAAACACAAACAAATGGGGCCATTTCACCCTCTCCATTTTGTTTATTTTGACCATAATGAGAAGCAGCTGCTGCCAGTGATATTTTCCTACTCACTTGTCATTTCGCCTTGTTCATTTGGGCTTGTCACACTTGCACCTCCATTTAGGCAGTGTTTGTGACCCTGTAGTACTTGATGTGAAGGGTTGAAATTAGGCAGGTTAATCCATGGCGAATGGAAGAGACTAGTTGTGGCATTACTGTTTTTAAGTGTTGTCATGGCATGAGATGAGGGACTATTTGCTGACCCATACTTTACCCAAGCTGGGCATAATGATTATGTGCCCTTCAACAATAAGCTGTTACAGTTGACAAGCCAGATGGGAAAATGTCATGAAAAACCTATGCAACCAAATAAATTAGCCACAAAGTGCTTCACAACAATCGGGGCCTAATGCCGCTAAAACCCCAAAGACAAGGCGACACTCTTAAATGTCATACATGGATAATAGAAGAAAATGTTTCATTAAGTAGGTTTAACATGTCCCTGTGTTTTTATATGCAGTAAAATTAAACTTGCCGGCAGTGACCTAGATCTTGCTACACTCAGGGAATAGACTGGACAGGTCCACAGTGGATGTGCTCTTTCTTACGCTACGGGAACCCTTATTCTGGGCCTTGTGTTTCTAGAACCCTACACATGTGGCGCCTGTGGCATCCCGTTCCAGTTCTACAACAACCTGCTGGAGCACATGCAGTCCCATGCTGGTGAGTTACCTGCACCTAGAGGGAGATATACCTGACTGGCTCTACTCATGGAGTGTAGTCGTCAAATGGCTGGGAGGCGAGATTTCAGCTGATCAAGTTGGTCTCAGTCCAAGTTTAAGTTGAATTCTAAGCTTGTTAATGGCTTGATACCCTTAGGTTAGGAGAGATGGAGAGGCAATGTTTTCATTCAACATGTTTTCACATTTATTATTTTATATATAACATTTATTATGCACTTTATTTGTGTTATGACCATTGTCACCCATGTAGTTTTGTGTACCTACTCTTTTGGTTGATTATTGGTTGTTTACTAACCCCATCTAACTGTTAGCCTCTAGCTAACCCTCAGCTTTTGGCTTTTAGCAAACCCTCTGGAAGTATAAGCTTCTTTGCTAACCTTTTGCTGTACTGAACAAAAATATAAACGCAACATACAACAATTTCTATGATTTACTGATTTACAGTTCATATAAGGAAATCTGTCGATTTTAAATAAATAAATTAGGCCCTAATCTATGGATTTCACATGACTGGGCAGGGGTACAGCCATGGGTGGGACTTGGAGGGCATAGGCCCACCCACTTGGCAGCCAGGCCCACCCACTGGGAAGCCAGGCCCAGCCAGTCCGAATGAGTTTTTCCCCACAAAAGGGATTTATTACAGACAGAAATACTCCTCAGAACCACCCCCTCAGACAATCCCGCATGTGAAGAAGCCAGATGTGGAGGTCCTGGGCTGGCATGGTTACACGGCGTCTGCGGTTGTGAGGACGGTTGGACGTACTGCCAAATTCTATGAAATTATGTTGGAGGTAGCTTATGGTAGAAAAATTAACATTAAATTCTCTGGCAACAGCTCTGTTTGACATTCCTGCAGTCAGCATGCCAATTGCACGCTCTCTTGAAACTTGACATCTGTGGCATTGTGTTGTGTGACAAAACTGCTCATTTTAAAGTGGCCTTTTATTGTCCTCAGCACATGGTGCAGCTGTGTAATTATCATGCTGTTTAATCTTGATATGCCACACCTGTCAGGTGGATGGATTATCTTGGCAAAGTTGTAGCTGTTAGATAACCCTAGCTTAACAGTTAACCAACCCTCTATCTCTCTGTTTCCCCCCAGCGGATAATGAAAAGCATACCAAAGGGGAATCTCCAAAGACATCACCGGGCCCAGCCTCACAGGACCAGCTATGGAGGTCCCCCCAGCCCCAGCATCAGGCCCAAGCTCAAATAGTTCAAGTCCAGATACAGGCTCAATCCCAGCCTGCACAGAGAAACCACTCCATCAACCGTGAGTAGGCTACGACTCATTCAATATCACTGTCATAGTCATGCTGCCTATGAATAAACGATTAGTTACCGGAGTGTAACTCCAGTTCTATGAGTGGAGCTCCGCCCCATAGGGGAGCTCTGCTCCTATTGGTTTACCCACTGCCCTAAGGCAGCATCAGCCTGAGACAAAATTATGCACACACCTGCAGCCAATAGGAGTACAGGTGTGCCTATAAGAGGGGATGCCTCCCCTCAATCAGCCTCCCGATATATTTATCTTCAGCGAGACTAGAGAGGGTCGGCAGGGCCTTAAGTCCTATGGGGCTCCGCTCCACTCATAGAACTGGAGTTACACTCCGGTAACTAATCGTTCTATATCGTGGAGCTCCGCCCCATAGGGGAGCTCTGCTCCTATTGGTTTAAGGCGGAGCGTAGCGCTCCAAAATGTACTCCCTGCCGAGCCCAACACTTCCCATCAAAATGAAAAGGTCAGGCCTAGCAATGGCTGCAACCAATTCCCGCAGTACTGTAACCACTGTCACCCTACAAGTGTCACAATATACTGCGTCATCGGTTAAAAACCCGCCCCACCTAGTCCAATGGCAACACCAATGACTAGTGGGCAGATCACCAGAATACAGGCCATACTAATCTTTACTAGCAGATAGATGGTACCTCAATATCCTGTTACAATACTACCGACCACTAATGGAATGAGACAAAGTGTCACTCTACATTGTGTACACGGTAGGCCGCCTCACTCAATCAATGGAACCCCAGAGATTATTGGGCAGATCCCAGAACATGATTCATACTAATCTGAACAAGCAGATAGATGACGTCACATTCCGTCAAATTGTCATGACCGGTCTAATAGTATCGTAACCCAGGTTACTACTATTATCCCTCATCACTCCGCCTCACTCCAGTGAATCACTGGTGGGCAGATCAATACATGCCCTCTACTGTACTGAACCTGTCAGTCAGGAGTCATGCCACAAATATGTCCTTCTATCAGAAGCGGACCTGATAGACCCTGTCTCCACAGTCCTGCATTCCTATCCTCCTAGCTCAAAGTCTCCCTTCAGCCATGCTGAGTACAGACTGAGCCAAAGAGTTAGAAGACATATCCAAGAGAGAGAAACTGATAAATGGAGACGGTGTTGACCATGACGCCGCTCTATATATATCCTCTACCCCTGTTCCTCTGAAAAGGGCAGTAGAAGCTGCTACTCCACGAGTGGAGTGAGCTCTGATACCCTGAGGCAATTGTCGCCCCGCTGCCTCATAAGCTGTCTCAATGCCCTCACAGAGCCAATAAGACAGATGCTGTTTCGAAAGTGGTCTACCTAGTGCAGCAGCACCATGACACACAAACAGCTGAGGCTATGACCTAATCGCTGCTGTGCGCTCAAAGTAACACGCCAAGGCGCGTACTGGGCACAGGCGATGGAGCCTTTCCTCACTCCTCTCTCTATGAGGAGGAGGAGAAAAAGCCCACAGCTCCACGGTCTGTGATCTATATGAACTCCTAATAACCTTCGGCACAAATGCCGGGTTAGGACGTAACACCGCTCTGCTCAGATCGCCATTAATGGCCAGGCAGTCGGGTCTCGTCGAAAGAGCACACAAATCAATAACACGCTTAGCCGTAGTCAAAGCGATCAACAGCACTGTCTTCTTGAGGGGTATTTGATTCAATGGCTCAAATGGCGACTTACATAGCGCTTCGAGTACCAAAGCCAAATCCCACTGAGGAAGCGTGGCTCTAGGTGTTGGCCTAAGCCGCCGCTTTCCTAATGGGAAACGTTTCACTAGAGGGTGGCTAAAGACATTGTCTCTGCCAAACCCCTCGTGACAAGCTGAAATCGCCGCTGCAAACACCTTAATGGTGGCGGGCGATCGCTGCTTGTCAAACATAAGCTGTAGGAAAGAGAGAATACTCTCAACCTGACAGCTCATGGGGTCTACACCTTGTGTGACACACCATTGTGAAAACACGTTCAATCTACTGGCATACATCTTAGAAGTGGAACTGGCACGATCCTGATCCTGATCACCGCATCAGATAACCCACAGCGCTCTAGCCTGTCCCTCTCAGCAGCCAGGCCTTCAGTGGTTGGCCGATTATGGGCAACTGCACTATCGTGCCCCCCGCCTGAGACAACGCGTCCCGTCGATGTGGATTTGGCCAAGGTGGCGCAATCAACATCTGACTCATCTCCGCAAACCAAGGAGCCCCTGGGCGATCGGGGGCTACCAGTATCACTGACAGCCCTCCTGACCTCACCCTGGCTAACAGTGGGAGAATGCAGGACAGCGGAGGGAATGCATACAGAAGAACTCTCGGCCACGGGTGGTGCGCAAAGGCGTCTCTTCCTAGTGGCGGTTCTTCCTGTTCCCTTAGAGAGAACCATAGGGGACATTGCGCGTTCACACGTGACGCGAATAGATCCACCTCGGCTCTCCCGAACTGTTCCCAAATTTGGAGAACAATGTCCGGATGCAGACACCACTCGTCGTCTCGAGGACCCCCTCTTGACATGAGGTCTGCTCCTAGGTTCAAGTAGCCCGGAATGTGTGCTGCTCTCAATGAGCGAAGGTGCTCGTGAGCCCACAGCCACAATTCCTCTGCCGCCCGATGGAGAGCAGGAGACCTGACTCCTCCCTGGCGATTTATGTGGGCTACTGTGGATTGGTTGTCTGACCAGACCAGCACATCGCGACCCCGAAGGGTAGACGCGAAGTGGGTCAAAACCAGTCGAACCATTTCCAACTCCAAGAGGTTGATGTGGCGACTCGAAGGAGGCCACACACCTCCTATCGCTTGGGTCTGACATGTCCCTCCCCATCCCGATAGGCAAAGTGTGCTCTTACATCCCAACACTGGGATGTAAGAGGACACTTTGCCTATCGGGACTCCGTGCGTGAGAACGCGCGGGTTTCTCCAATAGTTCAGATCTGCACTGAGCGTGAGGGGAACCACCACCAACCGATGACGTTGACGCAATGGGTCTAATCTTAGTTGGGCGAACAATCGCTGCATCCTGCGCATGTGCAGGAGTCCCAGCGGAACCACAGAGTGGGCTGACGACATGAGACCCAAGAGTGACATGATCGACAGCGCCGTCACCGTGTGATTCGGACGACACTTCCTCAGGGCTAGCAACAACGCTACCCTTCGGGGGTCCGAAATTTGAGCCCTCATCGTTACAGTGTCTAGCTGTATCCCCAGGTACACAATCTGATGACTGGGCCAGGGCGCGCTCTTTTTCCAATTCACAGCGAACCCCAGACGTGTGAGATGAATCACTGTCTGTGTTGTGTGAGTGATCGCCAGCTCTGCTGACGGGGCGAGAACCAGTAGGTCGTCTAGGTAGGCTAGTAGCCATATTCCCTGATGACTCAACGGTTCCATTGCCGCCTCCACACACTTGGAAAACGTGTGAGGTGCCAGGGCGTACCCGAATGGCATCCTTGTGTATTCGTACGCCACCCCTTGAAAGGCGAATCGCAGAAACTTCCTGTGTTTCTGCTGTACCGGCACATGAAAGTACGCGTCCTTTAGGTCTATGCTCGTACAAAAGTCTCCTTTCTGGACATATTCGAGCAGATGTTTTGTCGTTAGCATTCGAAAGGGCCGTTTGGTTACGCTCTCGTTGAGAATGCGTAAATCCAATATTGGCCTCATTCCCCCCGTCTTTTTTGGCACTAGGAAGTAGGGCGAATATAGCCCCTTGTTCCTTTGCTCCTGGGGAACCACTGTGACCGCCTCCTTCGCCAAAAGTTCCGTAATCTCTGAAACCAGAGCGGCCACTTTTTCGGGCGTTTTCATCACCGTCTCCACCACTCCCCTGAATGGGGGTGGGGTCCGATGGAATTGGAGAGCATAACCCTTCTGCAGCGTCTGTTCTAGCCAGCGTGAGAGGGTGCAGCTTCGCTGCCACTGCCAGCAATACAGAGAAAGCGGCCGAGCGCGAAGCTGTGGTACATTCAGTAGGAAGGACCTGTATTCCTCTATGGCCCTTGCCGCCGCTGTTCCCCAACACTGAGGTGGTGGAACAGCCCAAGGTGGGCCTCCCATGAAAGGGAGAGGAAGCATTAGTGCGTTCTGAACCAGAAGGAGGGGCAGAGACGTCAGTTAAACCCGTAACCGTCGTATTCCTGCCCTCCGTGAATGCAGCGCGGGTCTGAATTGCACTGACCGAGGCCACAGCCTGCGACAGGGCACCATCCCCAGCAAGCGATTGCGTCATCGTAGGTGATAGAGTCGCTATTAGAGTCCCTCACTACAATACTCCTAGGAGTCTGTAATATGAGGGCTCTATGAGGTAACACAAGGCGGCGCCTTGATACCTTCTTAACCTTCACCTTCTGTGTGTGTTCAACTCTGCACCTCTGGTGGGTTGAGTCACGCTCAGTGTGGTGAGTATTAGCGCGTTCTGTGACAGGTGCGGCGCCGATACGTTGGTTATTCCTGTAACCTTAGTTATCCGGCCCTCCGTGAACGCAGCATGGGTCTGAATCGCACTAACCGAGACCTTAGTCTGCGATAGTGCGCCATCCCCAAATAGCGGCTGCGTCATCATGTCTCCTGACTGAGACTGCAGCCTGCTATGAGAGGCACTCACTACAGTACTCCTTGGAGTCTGTAATGTGAGGTCTCTTTGAGATAAACCAAGACGGCGTCTTGGTATCTTTCCTCCTTTCACCTCCTGTGTGCGTTCAGCTCTGCACCTCTGGTGGGCTGAACTACACTCATTGTGGTGAACATTGGCGCGTTCAGAAAGAAGTGAGGGCGCCGATACACTGGGCACCTTCGTGACCGTGGTAATCGGGCCCTCCGTGAACGCATCATGGGTCTGAATCGCACTAATGGAGACCTTAGTCTGTGATAGTGCGCCATCCCCAAATAGCGACTGCGTCATCATGTCAGAGTCTGACAGAGACTGCCGTCTGCTATGTGAAGCACTTCTTATACCTGAAGTGTTATGTGAACCTACTCTGAATGCCTGTTCAGCAGCGCACCCTTGGTGGGCTGAACGGCGCTTAGAGTGGTAGGGGAGAGAGGGTGAGATTTGAACGCTCTCGGACGTATTATGGAAAAGGGGTTCTTTTTTGACAAAGTCAGGTGGAGCCAACTCTTTATTCAACACATCAACAAAAGCATTTACATCATCACCCATCCCTTCACCGAGGTGGCCATGGACCTCCCCGAGCAGACGGCCGATGCCTGTGTTAGGTGTAGGATGGCGCCAGAAATTCTAGACGCCTCCTCCACCTCCTCTGGCTCCAGCGCTGTCTTACCCGTGGTTAAATGGGACAGAGCGGCTGCCAAGAGGGCAATGTTGTTAGCTGCTGCTACAGCTTGGGCTCCCAAATTGAAGGACTTCTCTAACAGCTGTGCTGTGAGACGGTCCTTCTGAGATGGCAATGTGGCCTTCCTGGAAGAGGGCCAGGGACTCAAACCCAGTACGAGATACGCCGCCATGGTGCTCTCTAACCTGGGGATTCCCTTAGCTTGGCCCTGGAACCTTCCCTCCACTCTAGTGAATGAGAGGTATGTTTTAGCCGGCGAACGCGCCGCTAAAGGTGCCTCCCATGAGCCCTCAACGTATTTTGCCAATGAAGGCATGGCAGGAGCTAGTGGCTCTGCCGCTCTTCTTGGCCTGGAATAAGGGCCGCCCTCCATTAAGTCAACCTCCGGTGCGGAGGGAATAGGGGGCAGCGGTATTTCCAGCCGTCTAGCAGCTCTCTCAATGAGACCCGGAAAGTCCGTTATCAGAGACGCTGCGGTGAAGGACAGGGCTTCTGATTTCTCAGGGCCCGTGTCGTCATCACCATAGGAACTACAAGCCCTCTCGCTAACCAAAGGAAAGGGGGGCTTGAATGTATGAGGGACGGGGTCTGACTGTTCCATAGGAATGTCAGCCTCCTCATAGTCCCCATCATCCCCTGAGTCTGCGCCGTCAGATGACGCCTCTGAAGCAGAGGCTAGTATCGACAACATGTCCTCTAGGGGGATATCCTCCCTAAAAAACGCCCAACGCTGCTTCCTCTCCTTTGTAGAAAGGAGGGCGCAGGAGGCGCAGTTAGGGGAACTGCAGACGCCCTCTTTGGCATGCTGGGACCCTAGACACATGAAACATAAGTCGTGGGAGTCGCCGGCCGCCATGGAGGAGCATCTGCATTGAGCTCTGAAAAGAGCTTTTGGGGGTGGAAAATCTCCTGGTGTGCTCATTTTAGGACGACGTCGAAGACTGGAAATTCGACGGCGTTCTCGTCCTGAGTCTTCTCTTCTTCTCTTCGTCTCTTCTTGGCTTCTTCAGTCTAGTCCAGTCTCTGAAGATAAAGGGAGGCTGATTGAGGGGAGGCATCCCCTCTTATAGGGACACCTGTACTCCTATTGGCTGTAGGTGTGTGCATAGTTTTGTCTCAGGCTGATGCTGCCTTAGGGCAGTGGGTAAACCAATAGGAGCAGAGCTCCCCTATGGGGCGGAGCTCCACGATATAGAACAGGGTTTCCACCCACTCTTGAAAATGTTCTTTGATGACGTAATTTCACTTCTTATGTTATAAAATAAATTTTACCAAGACAAATATGATTCTTCATGTTCTGAATTGTTCAGTGGGTTCTTTCTCTAACATATAAACATTATATCCAAAAAGTCTCATTTCGTAACCTAATAGATCCGATAATAAGCACCAAGCTCTGTTGACAGAGCGGTGCCAGTTTCTTGCAGCAACTGTCTAGGATTTTACATGTTGTGGTGGTCGTCTGCAAAGTTGTTTCTGCAGGTCGCAAAAAGCAAAATTAGCATTACACAATCCGAACTAAATGTAAAAGGCTTTGCAAATAAAAAGCTTGCAGTACGCTCAGTGCTCTGTTGACATTTCAGAGATACGCTTTTTTCTGTGAGAAATCTTCTAAAAAGAACAGGAATTTAATATGAATAGGAAAAGGGTTTATTAAAATATGAAAATACATGTCGTCTCAAAATCAATATCCATCTTACCTCTATATTGTTTTATGTCCTCCGGATCCCAGAAGAAAGATGACGTGTTCAATGGTGAGCCTGTCAGGTAGCCTTAACTCTCTCACAGCATCCAGCCTAGCTGACGCAATGCCATTTTCCTGATTTGATTACCACTTTTTTTTCTCTGGCCTCCATTGATTTAGTCACCTTCATTTTGGCCATCCTACATGGGTAAAATCTCCAATAACTTTTGAACGGATTATGATGGAGACATAATTTTTATTACATTATTATTTTACCCACTGGTCAAAATATGCATTTTTGATTGGACACCCTAATAAACACACTTAGGCCACACTGCCTATGAATACACACTTTATCTCTCCCGCTTAAACTCTTTCTCCTATCTCTACCTCTCTTTCCCATAGTTTTCCTCAGTTTTCTCTTTCTCCCATCTCCTCTCCCTCTCTCCTCCTCACTCTCACTGTATCTCTCCCATTCCTCTCTCTATCCACAGAGAACAGTGGTGGGTTACCGGAGAAGGAAAGGCAACAGGTGGCTGAGCGTCTCTTGAGGGTGATGTGTACAGACCTGGGCGTGCTCAACATGCTCAACAGCAAGGACTTCCTAAAGCTGGCCCAGACTCTGGTGGACACGGGCGCCCGCCACGGTGCCTACTCCACCCGCGACGCCCTGGGCAACATGAGCTCTCTGGCCCTACTCCAGCTTCCCCGCATGTACAACCAGGTCAAGGTCAAGGTGACTTGCGCCCTAGGCTCCAACTCCTCACTGGGCATTGCCGTCACCTGCCATTCCCAGACAGTGGGACCTGATGCCTGCCTAGTGCTGACAGCCTACCAGGTGGAGGGGTCCAGGCTCAAGCGCTACGTTCTAGGCGTCAAGGAGGCAGACCTGAGGGAGGGGCCCGAGCAGGTGCACCAGTGGACACAGAACGTGCTGTCGGAGTTCGTCATGTCGGACATTCGCACAGTGTACGTGACTGAGCCGCGGGTAGGGGTGGGGGGCTTGCCGCTGGGTGGAGGTGGGCGGAGGAGGGTGTGCCTGCGGTGCGCCGGGTGCTCGTTGGGTGCTGTGGTGCAAGCGGTGCTGGGGAAACACAGCTTGCAGGCAAGGGGGCTCCACGAGCTGTCTGAGCTGCTGGCCGCCTGCCGCGACATTGCCTCCACCAGCCTCTTGTCTACCAGCGGCGCCACGGACGAGGGCACGTCTAACCCCTCCACTCCCCCTGGGCTCAGCCCCACTCCTCCCTGCTGGGACCGCACAGCTGAGGCCCTGCTTCAGGTGCACTCCCACTTTGAGCAGATCTGCGAGGCGTATGGGAGGAGCAAGGCCACGGCTTCCACACTGCATGGCCTCAACAAGCACCTTCTGGGGACGCTGACCTGCCTGCTGGCCCCTTTGCGCCTGGCCGCCTTGGAACTCAGCAGCCAGAGGAGGCCCACCCTGCAGCAGGTGCTACCTGTCTACCTGCGCCTGGAGAAACTGTTCACCTCCAAGGCTGGGGAGGTGGGGACCTCCAGCAAGCTCTGCCATTACTTCCTGGAAGCTCTCAAGGAGAACTTCAAGGTGGAGAAAGCCCACCAGGTAGCCATGGTCCTGGACCCCCAGCTGAAGCTGCGTCCCGTCCCAGCCTACCAGCAAGAGGAGATCATCGCCCACGCCTGCGAGATGGCCACAGACGCCCGCGACGGCGGGGGGTCCGGAGGTGAGGACATGGATGGACCCTCAACACTCAAACGGCTCCGCGTGGATGTCCCCAGGGGCGGGGTGGACGCCAGAGGGGTAGTAGCCGTGTCGTCGTGTGAGGCGTCGTCAGATGAAAGCCAGACCCAGGTGAGACAGGAGGTGTTCCAGTATCTGGCTGAACCGCTCCTCCAGGGTACCAACCCAGACCTCTTCCACTACTGGAGCACCACGGTGGGCGACCGCTACCCCAGACTGGCACACCTGGCACTGTGGCTGCTGGCCGTGCCCGCTGTGGGCGTCCGCAGCGAGTGTGTGAGCATTTGCGAACAGAGCCTGGCCATTAAGAGGAGGCAGCAGGTCACCACCGAGGAGATGAACAAACTCATCTTCCTGCGCTCCAACATGGCCTGAATGTTAAGGTCCAACCACTGAGGCTGACCTAACCACGACCACAGCTCGACTGTTCTCGACTGCTCCACCAATGACTACACAGACTATCTACAGAGGGATGGGGGAACCCAGAGAGTCTGATCTCATGGACGTACTGTTGTGAAAGTAGCGTTGCCCTAAAAGCACATCAAAAGCCTAGGTTAGTGAATGAGAACATGCGTCAAACATCCAGACTGGTTGGATACTGTTCAAGAAGGGCGAGGAGGTAGGGCGATCTTCTCAAGATGGGGATCAAACCATGGTTAGTGCCAAATGCAACAAAGAAAAAATGAATTATCAGGGTTTGAATGGCTTTTAAAATTCATAGGATAAACGACAAGAATGGTAAGGGGTGTTGCATCTGGTGCTAGCTAGTAACCGCTGTTATTCTTTGGCCATTTAAAGATCTCTCTTTCACTAAATCACTTCTGACCCTATGAGTCAGTCAACTTCATGCCTTTACAATGTTATCAAATTGCCATATTTTTACAATTTCTTCAATGGCTTGTAGTTGTCTGGCTTTAGTAGCTTTTTGAAGGACTAAAGGGAGTAGATTGGCCTTCGGTGGTTGTGTATGGCCTAGCCTCAGATCCGTCCTGGACAATGGTGCCATTAGACTGCACTCTGTTACCGAGTGACTATACTGAATGACTTGAGGGTTGGGGTGGGTGTGATTGGGAACTCGTCGGCCTGATTGCCCCTGGCCTATTAGTGGTGTCTTTCTTTTTCTATGTGTATATTTTCTGACCCACCTCCACCCCCCCACATTTTGGTGACTAAACTATATATATTTTAGTAATAATAAATTCAATATTAAGAGGAAAACAAAACAAAAATGAAGTGGGCCTCTGACCCCGCCCAGCCAACAGGTGTCCATCCAACCCCCCACACCCGGAAACCATGTTTCCCACCCCTTCCCACCCCCCCTAGCAACTAGGTTTGCTCGTCAGTCACCCCCCAGCACCCCCCACTCCCCCTCCAGGTTACCAGAGATGTCGAAAGCATTCCACAGGGATGCTGGCCTATGTTGACTCCAATGCTTCCCACAGTTGTGTCAAGTTGGCTGGATCTCCTTTGGATGGCGGACCATTCTTGAGACACACCGGAAACTGTTGAGCGTGAAAACCCAACAGCGTTGCAGTTCTAGACACACTCAAACCGGTGCGCCTGGCACCTACTACCATACCCCGTTCAAAGGCACTTAAATATTTTGTCTTGCCCATTCACCCTCTGAATGGCACACATAGACAATCCATCCAATTTATTATTATTTATTTCTTGTATGTGTTGGGCTTTATGAATTGTTAATTTGTATGTGTTAGGCTTTAGCTAAGATTATTCTTTAGAGTCAAGTATATTTGTCCTGGCCTCATTTGTACCTTGACTAGCACCATTCATTCTCGCTGTTGATAATTCTAATGTTATAACTTCTAATAGTAACTGTATCCACTGGCGACTTGGGAGAGGTGATTGCCATCGAAGAGCCAACAGCTTTTTTGCGGCGGTGCTGCCTGCCAGCAGTTAATCATCTCTTATTGAGAGATTCAAGGAGCTATCATTGTTAAGTAACATAATAGATGCAAAGCATTGAATATTTACATTGATGCACATTTTACAAATAATTTTGTAACTTTGCCCCAGAAGCATTTAACTGCAGGGCACTCCCACATCATATGAAGAATGTGCCTACCTGATTTAGGGGACACAGTGAACAGTTGGGAGTTGGGGCCAATTTCACCATAAAACATTTCCTTGGTGATAAATACAGTCTGTGAACAAACTTAAAATGTATAAATTGATGGTTCGGATTACAGGATGCCAAGGTCATATTTTTCCATATTCTGTTCCAGTTAAAGGGTTGTTGATATTCAATTAGATCTGTGGACCATACTTTTTTAATGGCTAATTTAGAATATGAGCTTTCCAAGTTGTTTATGTATTATAGAGATCAGTCCTTTCCAGAGCCCAGTTAATTTATTTATAAATCCCATCATTGGATGGTTCGGTAGTTGGGTTTTCCAAGGCACTCCTTATGCCAGCATAGCTGACCTAAGTTGTAAAATAAAATAAAAAGGAGTTGCCTGGTAATGTGTATATACAGTGGCTTGCGAAAGTATTCACCCCCTTGGCATTTTTCCTATTTTGTTGCCTTACAACCTGGAATTAAAATGGATTTTTGGGGGGTTTGTATCATTTGATTTACACAACATGCCTACCACTTTGAAGATGCAAAATATTTTTTATTGTGAAACAAACAAGAAATAAGACGAAAAAAAACAGAACTTGAGCAGCATAACTATTCACCCCCCCCCCAAAGACAATACTTTGTAGAGCCACCTTTTGCAGCAATTACAGCTGCAAGTCTCTTGGGGTATGTCTCTATAAGCTTGGCTCATCTAGCCACTGGGATTTTTGCAGATTCTTCAAGGCAAAACTGCTCCAGCTCCTTCAAGTTGGATGGGTTCCGGTCGTGTACAGCTATCTTTTAGTCATACCACAGATTCTCAATTGGATTGAGGTCTGGGCTTTGACTAGACCATTCCAAGACATTTTAAATGTTTCCCCTTAAACCACTTGAGTGTTGCTTTTTAGCAGTATGCTTAGGGTCATTGTCCTGCTGGAAGGTGAACCTCCTTCCCAGTCTCAAATCTCTGGAAGACAGAAACAGGTTTCCCTCAAGAATTTCCCTGTATTTAGCGCCATCCGTCATTCCTTCAATTCTGACCAGTTTCCCAATCCCTGCCGATGGAAAAACATCCCCTCAGCATGATGCTGCCACCACCATGCTTCACTGTGGGGATGGTGTTCTCAGGGTGATGAGAGGTGTTGGGTTTGCGCCAGACAAAGCATTTTTCTTGATGGACAAAAAGCTCAATTTTAGTCTCATCTGACCAGAGTACCTACTTCCATATGTTTTGGGAGTCTCCCACATGCCTTTTGGTGAACACCAAACGTGTTTGCTTATTTTTTTCTTTAAGCAATTGCTTTTTTCTGGCCACTCTTCCGTAAAGCCCAGCTCTGTGGAGTGTACGGCTTAAAGTGGTCCTATGGACATATACTCCAATCTCCGCTGTGGAGTTTTGCAGCTCCTTCAGGGTTATCTTTGGTCCCTTTGTTGCCTCTCTGATGAATGCCCTCCTTGCCTGGTCTGTGAGTTTTGGTGGGCGGCCCTCTCTTGGCAGGTTTGTTGTGGTGCCATATTCTTTCCATTTTTTAATAATGGATTTAATGGTGCTGCGTGGGATGTTCAAAGTTTTGGATATTTTTTTATAACCCAACCCTGTTCTGTACTTCTCCACAACTTTGTCCCTGACCTGTTTGGACAGCTCCTTGGTCTTCATGGTGCTGCTTGCTTGGTGGTGCCCCTTGCTTAGTGGTGTTGCAGACTCTGGGGCCTTTCAGAACAGGTGAGATCATGTGACACTTAGATTGCACACATGTGGACTTTATTTAACTAATTATGTGACTTTTGAAGGTAATTGGTTGTACCAGATCTTATTTAGGGGCTTCATAGCAAAGGGGGTGAATACATATGCACGCACCACTTTTCCGATTTATTTGTTTGAATTTTTTGAAACAAGTTATTATTTTCATTTCACTTAACCAATTTGGACTATTTTGTGTATGACCATTACATGAAATCCAAATAAAAATCCATTTAAATTACAGGATGTAATGCAACAAAATAGGAAAAACGACAAGGGGGATGAATACTTTTGCAAGGGACTGTATTGTTCACATTTTGGAATATTCTCAAGCCATTACTGTCCATGATATCGGTAAGGGTACGGATTCCACATTTGGACTATTGTGGGTGATGCAAAAGGCCACCCTCCAGGCATTATTGTGAAATATTGGAGTATGGGCAAGCCATTTTGATTCCCAGTTGCATTGTTTTTCAATTTTGCGCAAAATAGAAATTGTGTGAGCAATAATAGGTTTACATTTTTTAAGGGATATATCCGTGAAGACCACCTCTTCCAGGGCAATAGGAGACACAATATGTATCTTTATACTCAGCCAGGGGGAAGAATAATCATGTCTAAACCAATTTAGGATGGTTAGAAATGCTAGTGCCTGGAAATACTATTTCAAGTTTGGTAGGGATAGTCCTCCTTCGTCTTTCCCTCTTTGTAAGTTTGTTAATTTTATCCGGGATCGTTTACCTTGCCATATACATTTTGAAACTGCACTAGGAATTTTATCCCAATAGCCAGAAGGGGGAGCCATGGGAAGCATTGAACTACAGAAAATCAGCTGTGGCAATGTATTCATTTTGACAATAAATATTCTGGTGGTTAAAGCAACTGGGATTATATTACATCTACTGAGGTCAGATTTGAATTAATTGCAGCGTTCTGTTAAAGTTTCTGGCAATGGTTTTATCTAAGGAATTCAATATGTCTACTCCCAAATATTTAAAATGGGAAATGATTGGGATTCCATAAATAGAGATGGAGTCCTCCATCGGGGTCTTGAGAGGCAGTAGGGCTGATTTTGGTTAGATTCATTTTATAACTTGAGCTGAAGCTGAATTTATCTGAGTTTAAATGTGTTTGGGAGCAATTGAGAAATTGTCTAGATAAAATATTGTCTGCGTATAATGAGATGAAGTGATCAGTAGATTTTAGGGAAATTTGTGTTATTTCCTTCGATTGACGAATTGCCTGGGCCAGGCGTTCCATGGATATTAAAAATAGCTATGGCTGAGGGATTGGCATATAGCATTTTAATCGAATGAAATTGGAGCAAATTCCCATATGTTCCAAGACAGACCAGAGACATGAACAGTCTAGTCTATTAAAAGCTTTTTCTGCATCGAAAGATAATACAGCCCAAGGAGCTGTTGTGTCTGATGAAGCATCTAAGATATGTAATAGTCAACGGAGGTTATCCGAGGATATTTTTTTTTAAACAAACCCGCTTTGGTCTAGGTGGACCAATTTGGGTAAGTAAGTCTCAAGACGGGACGACAGCAT